CATTTCTCTTACCTCCATCTGACCTCTCTCCTGGATGACTGCTGGTTTCGATTTCTTTAATTAAATTAATCATTTTTTTTTTCAGTGCTAGGGATCAAACCCAAGGCCTTGTGCATGGTAGACCTCCACCCTTGGTGTGCCTTTCTTAAGGCTGTTCCCTTTTCAATTGAAGACACTCAGTCTCCATCTCACCAGTTAAGTTGAACCCTCTGATAACCTTCCTGGACTTTAAGGGACCTTGCAGACCCAAACCATAATGTATGCTAATGAGATCACTGAAGATTGGAGCCCACAGATAGCTTTGGGATGAGGACTGGTTGCCAGAAAGACCAAGACATATGTCCCCCAAAAGGCATGTGTGGGAAACTCAATCTCCAACACAACAGCGTTGAGAGATGGGGTCTGATGAGAAGCCATTAGACCCCAAGGGCGAAGAGAGTAGACTCATGCCATTATCAAGGAAGTGATTTCATTTATCCTGGCAGTGGCTTCCTTATAGCAAGACAAGTTCAGCAGTCTCTTGACCTCTCTTTTTGACCTTTCCATGCACTTCCACCATGGATGATGCAGCAAGAAGGTCCTTGCCAGAGGCCAACACCTGACTTGAACTTACTAGCCTACCAGATGGGGAGAAATAAATTTCTGTTCATCATAAATTATTCAGTCTGTGGTGTTCTGTTACAGCAGCATAAAACAGATGAAGACAACTTGATCGGAGAGTTGTAACTTTCAGCTCCACCCTTCAACCTTGAAGGAAGGAAGTAGGGGTGAAAGTTGAGTCGATTACCTGGTGGCCCATGATGTCATCAATAATGCCTTGAAATGAAGCCTCCATAAAAACCCCAAAGGGCAGGGTTCAGAGAGCTTCCAGGTTACTGGAGATGTCTGGAGGGTGGCACACCCAAAGAGGGCCTGGAGTTTCCCAGCCTTCCCCTTATCTCACAAGAGTTGCCCTCTGCAGTTCTTCCCTCTGACAATTATTTGTATCCTTTGTAATGTCCTTTATAATTCATGGGGAAACTTGAGTGTTTCCTGAGTAGGCCATCCTAGCAAATCAATCAAACTCAAGGAGGTTTGGGAACCCCCCATTGATAGCTAGTCAGTCAGAATCATAGATCACAACCTAGATTTTGCAACTGGCATCTTAAATGGAGCAGTTTGATGGGTCTGGGCCCTAAACCTGTAGGACCTGACACTATCCCAGGTAGTGTCAGAATTGAGTTAAATTGTAGGACACTCTGTGTTTGATGGAATATTGATTGGTGGTTGGTGAGGAGAAATCACCATACATTTCAGTGGCCAGGGGTGAGGTATTTTGTGTTGAGTATTGACTATATTGACTGTGTGAGACAGTAGAAAAAACATTTTTCCCCCTCTACTTTCAAAAACTATATCACATACTTAAAAGAAGAAAGACAATTTAAAGACTATATGTAGTAGAAAAGAGAAAGTGGGATATTTACTATTCTGAAGCTTGCTTTATCGATATTCTTTTTTTTAAAAAAATATCTTTTAGTTATAGATGGACACAATACCTTTATTTAATTTATTTATTTTTATGTGGTGCTGAGGATTGAACCCAGTCCCTCACATGTGCCAGGCAAGCACTCTGCCACTAAGCAATAACCCCAGCCCCTCAAATTTCTTTTTAAATTTTATTTTATCAGTCCTGGGGATGGAACCCAGGGCCTCATTCATGCTAGGAGAGTGTTCTACTAGTGAGTGACACCTCCAGCCCTTGCCACTGAATTTATTCATATTTTTAATAACATGTTAAACTACATTTGGAAATGAGAATCTGTCTTGATAAAAAAAATATGGAATATAAAAGCAAAAGTTGGCCTGATCAAAAAATTCTTTAGAGATTTATTTGTGTCTTCTGACCAAGTGAACTTAGAGAACGAATTGTAAGTTACAGAATGATGGTTCAAATTTGAAAGGAGGAATCTGCTAAGTAAGAAACAAATTCTTCTTTACAGAACCCAACTCATTTAAAATGAGAGGCAAAACTGATAGATGGTTTAAAAGGAAGTTTGACTGAAGCCTGCCTCCTGTACCCATAGCTACCTGCCCACAAGAATGTGGCTCCCTGGTGACAGCTGCACTAATTATAGAAAAATGAGTGGAAGATGAATTATGTAAATTTACATTGACTGAGGATCCTGCTGGAGCATTTAGGAATTTTGATTATTAAAATAAACCGAGGATTTTCTTACATTGAAAAGCAATTAAAAGATGAAGAATAATTTGCTATGGGCTTAGAATGAAATTTAAATCAGCTAAAATAACATTTGCTAACATTACTGTAAATTATATGCAGGTAACAGCCATTTTGTGGATTTGAGAAGAAAAATCATGTGACTTTCAGGTGGAAAATTTAACTATATTTTGTTTATTTAAAAAAGACACTGAAAAAAAATCACATTTTTCATAACACTCATTGTTAAGTAAAATAAGAAACTACAACTTTCCCTGCTATATTTCAAGTAGTTTTCTTATTTTTAAAAAAATATTTTTTAGTTGTTGATAGATCTTTACTTTTTAATTTATTTATACGTGGTGCTGAGAATTGAACCCAGTGCCTCACAAGTAGTTTTCTTATTTTAAAATATTATCCTAGCTTAAAAATTGAGGATTAGAAAACAGGAAGTGGGAAAGAATGCAGAGTCAATCTTCTGCAAGAAAACTTTGTGTGTGTTTATAAAGAGGAGCTATTGAAATAAGATACATTCATGAGATTGCTTAAACTGATTTTTAAAACTCATTTAGAAATTTGATAAGCTTAACCTTAGTGAAGATGTTAATAAAAGGAAATGAAACCTGTATTTAAGATTTTTCTTAGTGAAACGTTATTCAACACTTAATTTAACATGCTATAATTTTAAATGAATCTTTTTACATACTCAGACACATTGGAAATGCAGCTAAATTGTTTCAGTCACCCACTCACTGAAGAACAAACAAAACAAAACAAAATCCCAACCATGTATTACTTGCTACATGTCAGAAAGGCTAAGGATCTACTCCAAGAGCAGTACAATTCATGGGTAATGTTTTTTTCTCTGCATGAGCGAAGAAAACACTGTTACATCAGAGTCAGAAAATCATGTTAATACATGATTTTATTGCCATTCTAAGCCCCCAAATATGTATACTTCAGTAATGTGCAGCCTAGGGGAGAGTTCCCAAGCCTTTTTCCAAAGGCAACTCTCTCAGGAATGATTTGTATTGTACCAATGCGGACAGACAAAGGACAGCTTGAGGATCCCCTAGTGTTCACATTTAGCACTGACAGCACTTTCATCGGTAACGTGCCTTACAAACAGTAATTAAGAGGAGCAACACCCCTGCAAGGTATTTAGCAGGATGTAAAAATGAAAATCCACAAGCAAGACAGCCAGGATGATGCATAAATGATGAAGTGTTAAATCATCATCACCTGAAAACCATCAGGACTCCCTCCCTCCCTCTTTTCTTGCCATGGTGTCTTTGGGGAAAAGTAAGAAGTTAGGTTTTATGCCAAGTAGGGGAGGGGCTGATGTCTGGGTAGGGGGAGGTGAGAGGATGGTGATAATTCCAAGTATCACATTTGCAAAGGGGAAATGTTCTACGAACACAGAGAAGGGGCTTCAAGACTCTAGCCCTTTTAGAAGTACCCCTAGAGAATACAAAATCAATACAGAGTTTAATTAATCTACTACAGATTGACTTCGCATATCGAAGCCCCAGGTAGGAAAGTGCCATGCTGAGAAGCCAGACAGTGCACAGTTGTAGAATGTGAGAGGGAAATAGGAAGGACTGTAGAATGTGCATTTTTGTTCTCTCAGGTGGAGGAGGGCACTGTCACTGCCCAGGGTCTGACTGCACAGACTTTGCTGTCTTTTTCTTCTTTTCCTTTTTCTTTTCTTCTTTAATTCCTTCCTTCAATTCTTTTTCTTTTTCTGTACTGGGGATTGAATCCAGGGCTTTGAGCTCTTTATCATTGACCTACATCCCCATCCCTTTTTACTTTGAGTCAGGCTTTCTCTCGATAAATTGCTGAGGCTGACCTCAAACTCGTGATCCTCCTGCCTCAGCCTCCCAAGTAGCTAGGATTATAGGTGTGCACCACCACAGCCAGCTTTGCTGGCTTTTTCTATGAAAGTGTTCTCAACAGGTTAACAGCATTACACAACCTTGAGTGAAATGAGTTCAGTAGCTTTTAGAGGAGGCGATGGAGCTTCACTGCAGAAGAATCTGCAGTTCAGGGCTCTGAATGAAGAATTTAAAATTGTTTATCACCTGAGCCTCCATTTCTTCATCTTTGATAGGGTCTAATAATTTCTCCCTCAAAGGGGGTGCTTGAAAGTTAAATGAGATGGATGTAAAAGTGCATATGTAAAGGTATATGCTTGATGCATTGTATTTCTTTTTGTCTAATTTGCCTGAGTGTGCTGCAGAGATGAGGCAGGGATATTTGGTCTCAGTCCCAGGAAGGCTGCCATTGTTAGAAGCAGTGCCAGACTTAGGACTTGCCAATGATGCGCTCTCATGTCAGGAGCTATGTTGCCCGGAACAGTGTCCACAAGCAACATGTGCTATTGAACACTTCAGTGTGCTAGTCCAAACTGAGGTGGGTTGGCATTGTAGATGACAAATTCAATTTTGAAGTCTTAGTTTAAAAAAAATAAAATATTTTACAAATGATTTCACATTAACTGTATGTAGAAATTAGAATATTTTGGACATATTGAGTTAAATAAACTATATTATTAAAATTGATTTTGTTTCTCTTTTAGTATATTTGGTTTTAGAACACTTCAGGTTGTATATGAAGCTTTCGTTGTGACTCACTGACATTGTTTTTGTTGAATAGCATTGCCCTAGAACATTCACTCAAATGTCTCAGATAATATATTTAATCAGTTAAAAAAACAGTTTGAGGCTTAGGTATGATGCTGGCAAGGAAACCAAGAGGTATCTAGGACAGGGGTCAGGATTTTGCTCGTTGCTGTGAGACATTAAGGGCCACGTGGGCTATGGGATAGCCTGCTTCTTTGATCACTGAAGGCCACATCAGTGGTCAGAGCTGGTTCCTGCAGTGGGTAGGGATGAACACCAAGTGGCTGCTGCTGGAGGGTGGGCACAGGGTGACTATAGGACGAGGATTTAGTGTCACACACCAACTGGTATCAGAAATTTTCCCTCTAATGATTTCTCACAACCACTGTGTCTTGAAGCAGAATCCTGAGGGTCAGTGGACAATTATGGACAGCAAGACAAGGCTACAGATAGGAAGAGATTTGGTGAGTCAATTACAATTTTGTGATTGCTCCTTCTACCGTGACTGCATGTCAGCAGAGAGAGTCTCACACTCTCAGTAGCACTTCATTCAAGCCACAACACTGAGGAAGAAAGCCACACTGAAGACACAAGAAAAACAAGTCAATCCAGTCTAGAGAACAACATTCAGGGAAACGGTACCAACACCTTCTTAGAATATGGAAATGAAAAATAACTCCATCAGCGCTCCCTCGCCAAACAGCATGTTGAAAGTCCAAAGAACTCTATTCATCAGTGCCTCGGGTCCTGTGGAGCATCTCCATCACTTACCATAAGGAAGCAATGAATTTAAAACTACTTTTATACATCGAAAAGAACATGGATAAAATATAGAGATCTATAGACAATTGATGAGCATAAGCTACTGGAATTGTTACATCTATATGAAGAAAAAAGGGGGGACTCTCAATCTCTGTAAGAAGCAGTGGGGAAATGTGTGAGTGGAAAGGCGGGGGAGTTGTGTGAGCGCAGTGGAGTGTGAGTTGGAAGATGCTTGTAGTGAACCAGGCCTGAAGAGCCACCTGTAGGGATAGTAAACGTGGATTCTGAGCATTTTCACTCCAGTCAGAATGATTAAAAGCTGTGCATTGTAAATTCTCTAAAGCAAGGCTCAGAGTCCCATAGTTTCTTCGTATACTTGATGATTTACACAGAAAATTAAAAATCCTATATGTGATACCATGACCTCATCAGTACCCACACACGGTATGAAACACAGATGGAGGTGTTGCCATTCAAACAAGTGGAGGTAACTGATACTTGGGGAGTGGGGTTCATTGCTGCCCAGTGGAGTCAGGGGGACACTGTTGGTCTCATTGATCTTCTTGTCATTCACTTCCTTTGGGACGTGAAACCTTCTCTTAGGAAGGCTTCTCTCCATTTCCTTGCCTGCAAACGGTTCTTGACTGACCCAAACGAAGAGTTCTGGGTAGTGAACAATGTTGGAGGCTGGAAGTCCAAACAGTATAGTGCCAATTCCAGTGAGGGCCCCCTGACTACAACACATGTTGGTGGATGGTGTCACAGCAGAAGCACCTTCACAACTTTGGAGAGCCCTCACAGCCAGCTGCTACTGTGGGAGTTAGTGTCTTGGAGGAATACTGTTTTAGTCTGCTTTCTCATTGCTGTTACCAAAACATCTTAAACATGAATTAGAGTTCCCATCTATTTGCGCCTGTGGGAAGTCCTCACACGTTCTGCTGGTCTGGAGACAGAGAAAAAGAGCCTAATATGCCCTCTCAAATCAAGGTGGTAGTCACTTTACCCAGGGGTGCTTAACTACCAAGCCACAACCCTTTTCATTTATTTTTATTTTTTTAAATTTTGAGACAGATTCTCTCTAAATTGCTTAGGGCCTTGCTAAATTGCTGAGGCTGGTCTTGAACTTGCGATCTTCCTACCTCAGCTTCCCGAGTCACTGGGATTATAAGCATGCACCACCCAGCCCTGCTAACTTTTTTAAAAAAACCTTATGATTGTGACAGTGAAATGTGTACTTTGTGATTATTCATTTAGTTGTATATTTATGATTTGTGCATTTTATGTGTACAATGTTTTGCTTTCCTTACTTATCTTTAAAAAGGTTGAAAAGGCACTCTCAAATATGTAAATTTTTTGTTTATATACTTCATATACATTAGAAAACCTACAAAATGAAAAGCAAGAAAGAATGACAGAAAACATGACTAGAAGCCCTAATCCCTTCCTCCCACACCCAGTGATCATGCGTACCCCTGGGATGTGCACATGCCTCTTTGAAGATTGTTACCTTAGAAGTGGCTCTTGTCACACTCCTGAGGAAGTACACTGAGAGGAACTCAGTGATTATAATTGAAGAGAAACAAAATTACAACAAAAATTGTAACAGTACACAGATTAGCCATATGCAACCAAAGTGAAATATTACAAATGTAACAAGTAAGAAGAAAAGGCTGATTTCAGCTGCCCCCAGCTACAGCATTTTGTTATGAATGAGGACAACCATTTTTCCATTCTGAGCAGGAGAATGGGAGTCCCATTCCACATAGGGGCTCCCAGAGGTGACAAGATCAGCCTTTCTGCCTTCCTTTCCTATTTCCTGCCTTCCTTCTGTGGCCAGCTATGTTGCCCAGGCTGGTCTTGAACTCAAGATCCTTCTGCCTGAGCCCCCAAGCAGCTGAGATTACAGGAAAATGTCATCATACCTGGCTAAATATACACCATCTTTCTGATGAGACTTGTTGGGACACTCCTGTTGCCAAGCTTGAAGAGACCATGGACTTGAGCAATGTGTCGAGACTACGTGCCCTGGAGACTAGAAGGTCTGCCCTGCATATTCTAGACTAAATGAGACCAACTGGGACTCTTGCATGACTTTAGAGAGGGTGAAAACCCCAGACCATGATAGAGATTAATTTCCTGGCAGCAGAATTATTTGAATTAGAAGCACACAAAAATGTGACAAGTTTTTAATTAAAAAATGTCTTAATTAAAAAATGTATATAGTTACATAATTAAAAATGTCAAATAAAAATAAAAAGCACCCTGCTTCATCTCCACACTGCAGATTCCCAGCTCCCTGAAATGACTACCTTCAATGTTTTTAGTTATTGCTTCTAACTTTGCCTCTATATTTCTTTTTTTGGGGGAGTGGGGGGGGCTTACTGGGGATTGAACTCAGGGGCACTTGACCACTGAGCCACATTGCCAGCCTTATTTTGTATTTTTATTTAGAGACAGGGTCTTACTGAGTTGCTTAGAGCCTTGCTGATGCTGTTGCTGAGGTTAAATTTTAACTCGCGATCCTCCTGCCTCAGCCTCCCGAGCTGCTAGGATTACAGGCATGCGCCACCACGCCTGGCCATATTTCTAAATAATGTATTTGAGTGGCCTTTTCTGAAGTTTTTGTGCTTTGACAATTTATCAAAAGAATCCTTACTATGGAAGATGAAAATTCAACTCTCTCCCTCTCTCTCTTTCACACACACACACACACACACACACACACCTATTACCTTCCCTCCTTCCAGTCAATATGGTTATATCACAGTTGTTCATTATCAATAGAGTGTTTGCATTAGTATGATTATGTAATATGCACAGCAGAGCTAGGTAATGTTACTATGATTGTCCTTTCTTGAATAATGTTTTATTTTAGTTTTTAGAGTTAGTAGTACCTTTTAATAACATTGCTTTGTTTTCTATTTGCCTAGTTATCACTCATTCATCTTCAAACTTTCTCATTAAACAATATTTCCCTCTCAATATGTCCAAACATTAGGAAATCTATCATTTTTCGGTCATTTTGTATCCTCCTATACTAATCTGGACATATATATATATGGTTGTCATTCTGGGGTTCCCCTCCTCTATCAGTCTTGCATTTCCATTTGTCCTTATCTCTTTCCTTCCTTCCTTTCTGTGGGGGTTTATGGTTATTTTATTCATTTACTCCTTTTTGATGAGGATTCAGCAATGTGCAGGTGCTACTTTTTAAATCATTATTATTTAAAGGGAGACTTAGCAAGTACTGGGAATGTGACAATTGCTAGCTTGAGATAATTCCAACTATCTGCATGATGGTGGGACTTCATAGAGGAAACTACAGTAGTCCTCATAGTCTTTTTTTTTTTTTTAACTGGGGATTGAACTTGGGGGCACTTAACCACTGTGCCACATCCCCAGACCTTTTAAAATATTTTATTTAGAGACAGGGTCTTGCTGAGTTACTTAGGGCCTCATTAAATTGCTGTGGCTGGTTCTGAACTCGATGTCCTCCTGCCTCAGCCTCCCAAACCACTGGGATTACAGATGTACACCACCTTGTCCAGCCCTCATAGTCTTTAAATTTAAATTTAAATTTAAACATTAAATTTCAGTCTACAAACATCAAATTTAAGTTACTCATTTTTGTAAGTTCTGGAAAGTAGCTCTTAATCTTATAGGAAAGTGTCTGCTTATGTGATTATAAGTCATTCATCTTTAAGAACCAGGATATTTTAAACTCTAATGAACTGAGACACATAAAATATGCTAAAAGAAATCTATGCGGTCACAAGGAACCCTCCCCCCCGCAAAAAACAACAACAACAACAAAAAAAACATCTTGGCCATCATTGGAGGATATTCACCGCTGTGAAAACTGGCAAATAAAAAGAAATAATAAAACATCCTGCCCCCCCCCACCCCCACCAAAAAAAAAAAAAAAAAAAGGAAAGAAGAAAGAAAAAAGGAAAAAGATGCCTGAATATAACAAACAGAGTATGAGAGTGAGCTAGTATGTGTGACCTCTGTCACCCCACTGCTCTAGGGCTGATCTGGCTGGCTAGGTGGGTGTGTCCCCTTCCTCCTTCACTGCTCCACATGTCCCTCCTGAAGCTGTGCACTCTGTCCAAAAGGACAACCTTCCAGATAGGGGAGGACTGTTCTTCCGTCAAGGGTAAATGAGAAGCTGTGCTCACCTGCCTGAACCTCCAAACCAGCTCTCAAGATAACCAACAGATGATAAGGGAAAGTTTCCTTTAAAGAACATTTCCAGTGAATAATGCAGAAGGACGAAATGATATTTAACCATCCTTAAAGAAACAGTGGATGCAAGCAATGATTATGGCACAGCTCTAGGCCATATCTCTGGTCCAACTTGTGACCCCTGCCTTAGAACAAACCTTGTTCTTGAGCTAGACCCATACTTTTCTTGGAAGCACGACTTTTGAGCACGTTTGTCCCTTTGATCGTCAGTGGAAAACTCTAGTGTCTAGCCAGAGTGGAATGAGAAATATTACGCTTATCAGACTGACCAAGTAAGAACGGGTAGGAAACAACGCTCTACCAGGAAGACCGCAGTCCCTTGCAGAGACTAACTCTGTTGATTTAATGATAAGAATCTGTACACTAAGGGTGTCAGCCAGCACAGGAAGTCCGTACTGGTGGAGAGTCACAAGTGCCCCAGTCAGGACAGCCTGCGGCCACATGGACCAAAAACTCCAAAGGGCATTCCTTAAACACAGGCAAAGGGCAGCATGTCTAGACTTCTCTGTGTCAGGAGACTTTTCCGGTCACTGAAAGGGATTAAGGGCCTGGGAAAGAGGCTGAAACCCTGCCTCTTCTTTCATCCCTGTGATTGGTTGATTTTATTCGATTTTAAAATAATTCTGAGATTCTTCCTAAAACACCAGAGAAAAAACAGAATGTGGGAGAAAATAATTATTAAAAAATAGATTTTTTTTTCTGTGTTTCCATGTCTTGCTCATTGAATAGGATTATTTTTATTTGGTAGGATAGTGGAAAAGTACACTGTATCAACTTTAGCTTTGTCAAGATCAAATACTGATAGTACCATACAAAGGAACCACATCAAGTCCTGAGGACAGGGGTGGGGGTGCACAGATATGTAGAAGATGAAAATGTAGTCTCTGCTCTGCAAAATCATACATTGTAGAAGATCTAAGAATTACATAAAATAAACATTGAAGACACTGTAACACATGATGTGGTAGTTCTTGTTTTTGTTTTTTCCCTCATAGTGCTAGAGTTTGAACCCAGGGCCTCCCACATGCTAGGTAAGGAAGGACTCTACCACTGACCCACATCTGTAGCCCTGGGCAGTCATGTTTTTAATGCTCATGACCTCTTGTTCCAGTAGGTTAGGCAAGAGGTGACCAACTGGCTGTCAATCCTGGCATGGTCTGACTAGTGTGGTCTGGCATAGAAAGACATTCTGAGCCAATGAAAGTCTCAGGGACAATTAAATGCAGGAACATGGGAACAACTCAAGTTGAAGGAGTCCAGATGAAAGTCAAAGGTATAAAGAAAAGAAGGTGATGCTGGGCTGCCTAGGATCCTAAGGACTTTCTAGTTCCAGTTATAGGTCCCTTTATAAACATCCCTTCTATCCCCCAGTGATTTGAAGTATATGGAATGGATTTCTGTTCCTTTGTCAAGATGATCTGATTAAATTTTATGGACAGGCTGAGTGTGGTGGCTGACTACTGTAATCCCAACAACCTGGGAGGCTGAAGCAGGAGGATCAAAAGTTTGAAGCTAACCTCAGAAAGTTAGTGAGACCATTTCAAAATAAAAAATAAAAAGGGCTGGGGGATGTAGCTCAGTGGTAAAGCGCCATGAGTTCAATCCCCAGTACCAAAAAAAAAAAAAAAAAAAAAAAAAATTATGGACAGAATAAATGGAAATAATAGTAAGGTTTTAGTTTTTTTCCTCTCTCTCTCAGTTCTGAGACTCTCTTGGTACAAGACTTCTCTGGAAGATCTTTAGAGACCCCTCCTGAAAGTCATCTTTATATTTATAAGGTGGGTGTTGCCCTTATTATATTTGTATTTAAGAGGAACAAACGAATCATACATTAACTAGAACTACTATTTTTTTTTTCTCTCTTACTCTGGGCTTTTCCCTCCTTCTGTCCTTCCTTTCTGTCTTCTCTGTCTCCTATATGAAATGAGAGTAATGAGAAATTTAAGGTGGGAAATAAAATCAAACCAGCGGTAGTGTCAGCACGTCAGTGTATCTGGGAGGTAGTCTACAGTTGGGATTCTGACATTCTAAGAGGCTGGGGCAATACATGAATAATAACAACCATTTGAGTATTTGAAAGACAGAAGCAAAACAGTTGATCCTCAAGAGAAACTTATCCCAAGGGTTCTCATAAAAGGAACACTGAGTCATCCTCAACCAACAAATTATAGGTGGTTCTTTCTCAGAAAATCCCTTGTACAGAGAGATGGAGAATATAATGCCAAAAGTCCTCCTCAGGAAGGGAACTCTTTTATGTTTTGAGTATGAACATTTCTGATGGCCTGATTTGATTCAAGGGGGAAAAACCCACAAGGAAAGCTGTAACATGCTTAGAAAAGTGGATAGCCTTACAGTCCATCAGGCTACCTTTGATGAATACCATTGTTCACAATCATGCTTTCATATGTCTAAAAAGCAGAGAGCCTGCAACCTGAAGTGCAGACGTTTAACACAGTTGATTAACAGCAGTTGCACAATTCTGATATCTGAACAATCAGTGGAGCAAAGGTTATGGTCAGAATCATTTTCTGGAAGCAAGGAGCCAAAGCTGGAGAGGCAGCATGAGAGTATCTTTCAGTTTAGGTAGAAATCTCAGCTGAACATCCAAGCAGGTGTGGTCCTGCCCTCGGGGTCAGAGAGGCCTGCAGGAGACTGGGACTCTTATTTTTTATTTGTTTTGGCTCACTGTGAGCACTTTCATAGATGGTTTCGGCTCCCACCTCCATGTCAATGATTGTTTACAACTAAATCATTTTTAACATTTATTAGCAAGTTGTTCTCCACTTTCCTAAAATTAGTGTAGTGCAGTATTTGTCTTAACTATTTTTGAATGTGTAAGATATTTGAATATTGAATACTGAATGCCTGGTCCTTGTCCATCCAGGAGATGGTGACTAAAGCACTTAAGAAAAATACTACATAAGCCTTTATTTGACAAGCTATTTATTTAAAAATCAATAATGTGGCTGATGGAACTTCAGGTATTAATTTCATATTTATTCTACCTAATTAAAATAAGTTACACTCCATGTGTGTATAATACGACAAAATACACTCTACTGTCATGTATATCTAAAAAGAACAAAAAAAAGTTGATCATGCAGTCTCGGGTCACCATTAGAAAGTCATAGTAAAGTCATTAATAAATGACTCCAATTACACAAATTAATTAATAAATAATTTCATAACATTGTTCAAAGTAAACCACTGTAATATAAATGAAGAAACCTAAAACATACCTGTAATAAACTAAATTAACATGCAAAAAGATTTCAATTTATCCTAACCTTAATGAGCCCATATGGTTTGTTTTTTTTTTCTGTTAAATCTTTATTTTATTTATTTAGTTTTTATGTGGTGCTGAGGATTGAACCCAGGGCCTCACACACACTAGGCAAGTGCTCTACCGCTGAGCCATGACCCCAGCCCCACCATGTTTGTTTGTTTTTTTTTTTAAGATCCATATTACCTATATAAAGAAACCTATTTATTAGAAATTCAGTGTCTGATTTGAGTAACAGAACCAATATTTATTTCCCACAGATACCAGTTCTAGTGAGCTTAAGAATTCAAGACTGGTAATTTTGTGAATGTAAGACTCTTCTATTAACAGGTATTTCCCATGTTGTCAATTGAAAGAATATGTTGGGCACCTTCTGTATCAAATTTAACTAATGATCAAGACATTAATAAAATGACAGCATTATTAATATTTTTCTCAGTAACTTTTAAATTTATATTAAGCATATTTGAAAACAGTCATTTTATTGCCTGAGGTTTTCATATGTAACTTATTTATAAAGGAAAATATGTACATCAATTCCAATTGACTGTCTTTTTTTTTGTTAAGTTTTAGAAGGAAAAGTCTAATTGGCCTAATAAATCATTATCTACCCTCTGGGCCAGGCTTTTGGGTTAGATTATGTCTAGGTCATTGGCCAGTCTGTGGTTCTGGTCTCTGCTCCTGATCCTTTAAGTGATCATCACTCTTTGCTCAAGGGATGCCCTGAGGCTGCAGCAAGGGACCACGATAAGGGAGGTTCTGTTAGAAGAGGCTGGAAGAGTTGCATGCATCACAGATGGATGTGTTCCATGTTAGAAAGTTTCTAATTTTTCTCTGACAAACAACAGGATGTGCATCTTTGTTACACATCTTTTTGCTTTTGTCCATTAACTTTGTTAGGATAAATTTTTGGAAGAGTACCTATTGAATGAAAAGGTATAATAAATTTTCATTTTGATACCTATCTTGCCATGTATTTACCACTACATTTTTCTTGATCTGTTCACATTTCACTTACTGAATATCATTAATATACTATTAAATAACAAAAGTTTCACCTTTTCTCTTTTCCTTCCTCCCTCCCTTCCTTCCTTCCTTCCTTCCTTCCTTCCTTCCTTCCTTCCTTCCTTTCTTTTCAGTGCTGGACATTAAACCCAGGCCCCCCATGCATGTTAGGCAAGTATTTTATCACTGAGCTGTATAAAATTTAATTTTTATAATCAACTCACAAACATGTTTGAACCTTATAACCTTTTTCTGTTCCTTGTTTTCCTGTGGGATTTTTTATGAAAGAATTTTAATGTTATTTTGGGAAGTATTCATATCTCCAGAATGTTTTTTACCCCAAGAAAAGATTAGGGCACATTGGCTGCTGTGAGGGAGGCTAGAATCTGAGAGAGGGAGAAGAAATCTATGTCCTATTTTTTAGTTAATTTTGTCAATTTTGCAAAAATATTGAACAATTGCTGTTGGGGTAGCAGAAGAGCAGGCAGATCTGGGAAAGTTGGGCCTGACCCTTCTCTCAGATAATTCTGCATTTGTACTTCTATCCTGTCTGCCCCAGTGGCCATTTGAGTAACCTTGTTGCGGCAGGCAGTCCTTAGTCATACTTCAGGTAGGTCCTTCCTCTACTGTCTCTTTATACTTCATTGGTGAGTACAGAGAAGCACCTGGTAGCTTAATCTGAAGTGCAGATTCCTTCTAGGAGGTGTGGGCCATATCTGTAATCCCAACTACTTAGGAGGCTGAGGCAGGAGGATTGCAAGTTCCAGGCCAACCTGGGCTACTTAGGGAGACCCTGTCTTAAAATAAAAAGGGCCGGTGATGTAGCTCAATGGTAAAATGCCCCTGAGTTCAATCCCCAGTACAGGAAAAACAAACAAACAAAATTGCCGTTTCCTGCATCTTGAGATTCTAATTTGGATGTTCTGGTGTCCAAGAATCCAAACATTTAATAAGATTCTCAGATGATTCTCGTGTAGGACCTTAGTAAGTCCCACTCTGAGAAAAATTGTTTTGGGGACTTGATGGGTACTTTTGAATGGGAGGAAATCAAGATGAAATTTCCCTACTTAAAAACATTGGTTGTTAGCTGGTGTGGTGGCATGAATTTATAGTTCTTGCTACTCAGGAGGGTGAAGTAGAAGGATCCTTTGAGCCCAGGAGTTCATGGCCAGCCTGAGCAACATAGTGAGACTCCATTTTAAAATTATTTATATATTTATTTTGTGGTACTGGGGTTCAAACCCAGGGGCACTTTAAAAGTAAACTGCATCCACAGTCCTTTTTATTTTGAGACAAGGTCCCACTAAGTTGCCCAGCCTGGCCTTGAACTTGCTACCCTCTTGTCTCAAAATCCTGAGATTACAGGTGTGCACTACCTCACCAGGCTTACTATCACCCTTTAAAAATAACTTATTTCACATAGACTTACATTCATAACCCCTCTTGTTCCCATGTTCTTACTGGGCTGTGCCAGAATTCCTTAAGAATCTTTAGTTTCTCTTGCTTCCACTTTAGGAACTAATGTTTTGAAGATATGTCCCTGGGACAGGTCAGGGAATTGGTGGGGAGGTCATTTGGCAATCTGCCATGAGCCTGACCAGGGCAGTGTTATCTGGGTTAATTAGAACCTGGATCTTTGCCCTGAAGGTTCAGACACCTGATTTTGTCAACAAACAAGATTGGATCTGGTCTGTGAGCCGTTTCACATTAACCAAACTCATAGCACTGGAAGCACACAACCAGCCTGCCATCTATTTGAGTACAGTTAGAAAAGGAACTAGAACATTTGCATTGGCACAGAATCTCCCACATGCAAGCCCCATTATAATCAGAAGGTTGTTCCACATAAGAAATAAGAACAAGGGAGGTTAAAGACATAATTTGCTTTCTGAATATCTTGGGGCTGATTCATTAATTTTCACAATTGAGATAACCTTGCTAACCTTGCTGACCAATTATGCCTTCTGAGGGACACATTTGTTTTCCGGATTTGTTAGTACAATCAGTTACATTTCACTGTGAACAGAAAACCATTTTCTCTCTTAAAAGTTACTTTGCTTCACCTTCCCTCCCTTTCCTATTTTATTAATTTCTTTCTTTTTGTTTGTTTTACAGATGATTCTCAGAGCACCATCTATTTTAGCTCAATTTTCTGTTGCTAAAAACAAAACACCACGAACTGGGTAAGTTATAAAGAAAAGAGGTTTATCTTGGCTCACAATTCTGGTTGAAGGGCAAAGGGCCACATCTGGTTGATAGCCTTTTTGCAGGCAGAGTCCTGAGGCAGTGCCAGGCATCATACATCAAGAGGCAGTGTTCTCAGATCTCTCTCTCTTCTCGTAAGAAATCTTCAAACATGAGGGTTCCAACCCTGATGATTTTATCTAATCCTAATCCCCTCCCAAAGGTTCTCTATCCAAATACCACAGTTGGATAGCTGGATTCAGTTTTTACCCTCTTAACACTCAGCATGAGTTTCAGAGGAAACAGACAAATCATATTCAAACCATAGGACTATCTTAATACCTGTTTTTCCAAGTTATTGCATAAAGTGGGAAGTAGGCCCTTAGTTTGTATTTACTGGGTCAAGTTCTTCATAGATGTCCCCTGGTGTTCCTGCAACATTCACCTCCAGTTTTCTTTTGATTCTTGTTTTGACATTGCAAACCAACTTTACTGTTTGCGTCTTCGTCAACTTTTTCCAGTGCTGGGAGTTAAACCCAGAACATGCCTCACTCTTACCAGGCAAGTGCTCTACCTCTGAGCTACATCTCCAGCCCTACTGTGTGATTCTTATCACAGAAGAAACCTTATTTTCAACAATTAGAGAGCTGTGCTGTCAATAGAGTAGCCACTAGCCACATGTGGCTAAAGTTAAATTAATTAGAATAAAGTAATCAGTTTCTTAGTTTCAGTAGCCACATTTAAGGACTCAACAGTCACATGTAGCTAGTGGCTACACTGGACTGTGCAGATACTGAACATATCCAGTTATTGCAGAAGGATCTACTGGATAGCATTAGTTTAGAGACTCCTACATTTATTTATTTTTTAAAATTTTGTGTTTGTTATTTTTAGTTATACCTGGCAGTAGAATGTATTTTGACATATCATACATACATGGAGTATAACTTCCCATTTTTGTGGTTGTACATGATGTGGAGAGACTCCTACATTTAAAAGATGTGAGAATCCTTAAATATTTCATATTCTATGCTAAAAGCAAAAGCGTATCATGTTTTGTTTGATTGCTTTGGTTTTTATTTGAGGAATCTACTGCTAGCAAAATTTGGTATTTATACTTAAATCCAGTGATATATAAAATTGAAGTGTGCAGGCTTTGCTATACTCCCCTATTCTTACACTTCTTCCTCAGAGCCAGTCGCCCTTCAACTGCTCAGGACTCTAGGTTGCAAATAGCAGAAACTCACTCTGACTAGTTCAAGCCAAGAAGGGAATTCAGTTCAAGGTTGTAGTAGTAGTATTCAAGGACAGGAATTCAACTCAGCTTCTGGAATAAACTGGAACTGAAGGTTTGAGTCTTATCAACACTCCCATCTATTCCTCTCTAGGCTCAGCCTCATTTTGGTTTCCCTTTGCAGGCCGGCTCCCTCTGCTTTTCCACTCCACAATACAGCTAGTACAACTGCCAAAAAGTCTTGAGATTATATTTACTCCATTCAATACACCACCCATGCTGAACCTAGACTCCTTCAGTGTTCATTCCAAACACCTCTGAGAAGGTGCTTATTGGCCTAGATTGGCTCAGGTGTCTACGCCTGGTCCAGTTGGCTGTGACAGGGCACAAGGTCAACACAGCAGCATGAAGACCTACTATTTGTTGCCAAGTGGTTCAGAGCTGGGGCAGGAGCCAGGAAAAGAATTGGGGATTGGTTGGACAACCTTGTGGAGGCCACTACAATTCTGCCTCTATTATTTGGGGACCTGTATTCCCATTTGGTCCTTCACCTGAGTTCTCTTTCTTTGAGCTATATCATGTGTATACTCTATTTCTACTCCTCTTTTAACCAAACTTTCTTTTTTTTTGTTCCACTGCTATAGGACTCTGCTAGGTGACTAATCTTATGTAGACAAAATACTATAGCAAAGATTTAAGAAAAACCCTGAAATCAGTTTTCTTATTAAGTGGGGATAATATTTTTTACCTTGAAGTATTATTGTGAGATTTAGAAACAATAATAATAATAATAATAATAATAATAATAATAATAATACTTATTCCTTCCAAATAACACATTTTTAGTTTAACCTGGATATTAATGGAAATAAAATGTCTTCTGGGAATTTCAAACATATGTCATAATGCAGTAAGTGAGATAAAATCTTTTGTCATATAATATAAACTTTCATATCCTTTTTTTTTTTAAACATCAAAATTGAACCTGCTTAGAAATCAGATTTGAAAATCAAGTATAAATCTTTTTCATATTCCAAGGGTAAGAATTTATCAAGTTGTGTGATCTTGGGTACAACTCTATGCCAGTTTCCTCATCTGTAAAATGGGGGTAATAACAGCCTCTACTTCATAAGGTCAATAGTAGTAAATGAGTTATTGTATGTAGAGGGCTTAGAAAAGAGCCTAGCAAAATTAAACACTATATGAATATTAACACGGGCTTTTCTTTAAGTCATTGTTTCTTTCTCTTTCTTTCCCCTCCCCCTTCTTTCCTTTCTTCCTTCCTTTCTTTTCAGTATTGGGGATTGAATCTAGTCCTTGCACATGCTAGGCAAGTGCTCTACTGTTAGGGTCCATACCCTGCCAACCCTTACCTTTTAAATTTAACTTAATTTTTAATTTTGAGACAACGTCTTGCTAAGTTGTCTAGGCTGGCCTTGAACTATCTATTCTCCTGACTCAGCTTTCCAAGTATCTGGCTTTACATATGTGCATCACCACACTCAGCAATTCATTAATCCTTAAACTTCTGATTGCAAAGTGTTCCTAGTGGATTGAAATACAAAGAAACAGAATAGAATAAAACATTGTGCATAGTAAGGGTAAATATTATTGTGGATTGTGATATATGTACCCAACCTATGAGTTTCGATCTTTGTTCTTTTTGAGTAATTTGAATCAGAACTTATTGCTTACTTGTATGCACCCCAAGCAGAGAGAGGACATGAAGAATGGAAACTCCATTGATATTGGTTAAGTGCACTTGGTTCTACTATTCTTCTATTGATGATCAGTGTGGTTTGGCAGGTGACCTAAACTCTGCCTCAACTTCCCTTTCATTAAAGGAGTGAGTTTCTAGTACATATAGGAATATGTGAAACACTGAGCTTTTTAGAGTCCAGTACTACTAATATTGAGAGATAACATCTCTCAACTAATATTGAGATAACATCTCTCAACTTGCAGGTTGCAAATAATAGCTTGACAACATCATGGGGTTAATCAAGACTCCTCTCACTTTCTTTTTCAGAAAAAAAGTCCAAAAGTCTGATTGACAATAAATCAAAATTGGCCAAACTTCCTAAAGACTAATGAAATTCCTAGAATTGACAAAGAAATACACTTATTATGATTGTTATATTAATTTCAGATTTATTTAAAATTTTAAAAAATATTTTTTAGTTATACATGGACACAATATCTTTATTTTAATAGTTTATTTTTATGTAGTGCTGAGGATCGAACTCAGGGTCTCACACGTGAGAGGCGATTGCTCTACCACTGAGCCACAACTCCAGCCCCTATTTAAAATTTAAACATTGAAAATTTGAACATTTTTAACATAGCCTTTCCTATTTTACCCTTTGTGGCTATTCCTTTTTGTTTTCTTCCTTCTTTTACAGTTTAATTAAGTCTAAGTTAAAACCTGAGGATGGGGGGAAGTGTAGTGTGACACTCACTATACAGGGAGAGGAAGTTAAGTTTTTAAACATCTGGTGTTCATCTTTTTTAAGGCATGAAAATGGGAATTGGGACTTTGTTGAACCATCAATGAATAGGCACATAAGAGGAAAGAGCAGTCCAGGGAGAAAACCTAGTCAATGAGAAGGAACTTTGCACCAGCAAGGGCTGAAGCACTAATGCAGTATGGGAGAGTGAAGGGCAAAAGCATAGGGGGAAAAAGATTAAAGTGCTGTGAAGAAGTTAAAGACAGTTATCATTATCATCCTAACAAGCAGAAATAAATGAAAAGCTGCCGCAGTCTGGCTGGGCACAATCAGGAGCCACTTGTCAAAAGAAACTAACTTTATTTTTAGAACCACACACGCCAAACAAAACAGCCTCTCAGGAAAAACCCTCAGAGCCTCAACTGCCACCACCGGCTTTCCACAAGCCTCTCTCTCCCACACAAGCTTCTCTCCACCTCCCACAATCCTCCGGCTCCCGATTGGCTGGGTCACGTGGGTGGAGCCAAAAAAGTCCCCCAATGAGCAGCTCCGTGGTCTGAAAGGGCAGGGAAACAGCCCAATGAGCATCACCGCAGAGGAGCCAATCAGCTAGATGTTGCTGGGGCCGCTGTGAGCCAATCATCAGCTGGCAGCTGGAAGTTTGCTGGGGCCCCTTCGGCTGTGGCTCTCAACAAAAAGCTGCAGGGAAAAAAAAAAAAACGAGATGGAAAAGGAAAAGGCTGACGTTCTTTTTTAAAGCTGACAGATCTCCCAGCATTTGATTTGTTGCCAAAAAACCATAACCAAAAAACTCAAAAAAATTATTTTCAAATTCTATTATTGCTGTCAATCAGGGCAGAATGAAGACCACTCAAAAGGACCCCTAGGCTATCACTAGTTTCTCCTCTTTGAAAAGAGCAGAGGTGTAAAACAAAAACCAGTTTTGTATTGCTCAATTAACATGGTTTCTTCCCCCTCTTTTAAGGAAAAAAAGTATGTTGCACTTTCACTTTTCCCTATGCTTTCTCAATTTCATATTCCTGGTAATTAATATTAATAGATAATTATAAATGGATCAGTAAATGGAGACAAAAGGAAATCATTTGCCCCAAACTATAATTGGGTCACAGAGCAGAAGTGGCCTTCAAATTTGTAACCTCTAAATTTCTATTATTACCAGACAGCCATTACCACTAAAGAAGAAATTCTAGACTGCCTAGTAGCAGTTACTTTGGATCCTTTATGTGCTTAATACTACATATATTTCGTGGAAGAGGATGAAACAATGGGTAAATCCTTGCGCAAACCCTTTGGAGCTCTTAAATGCATTCAGGTACATTCATGGTGGTCTTGATCAGCTCTTCCTGTTGGCAGCCAAGAAGGTGAGCTAGGCCACATGAAATCCATTTAATACCTATTTACTGACCAATACTAACACTGAATTTTCACTATTGATGAAGACCTTTAGTATGTAGAACTACAGCATTCATTACTTCACAGCACCTATTTGTTTCTGAAGCCTGTACTTTTGTACCTGTTCAATTCTGTTTCTGGGTTTAAGAACCATCCTTATTTGCTTCTAGTGTTTTAAATTTTATATCATACAATAAATTTTATTGATACTCTGAAAATCCTCAGTAAGCCTGCAAAAAATATGTCTTAGAACCTCCCTATCAGCGTAAGATCTATGTAATGTAGTGTGCTTGGTTTCACATGCGTTCAAATCTGTATCTCTGAGGCTAAGACTTTGGGAATTCAAGGGCAAAGTGAATTTTAATTTTGTACATTTGGTACCTTGATGAACAGTGGGGAAAAGATGCCCTTAGTTTGACTGGTTCTAGCCACAGTTTCCTGTCACTCTTTCTCAAACCATTACACATAAAATCAGAGGCACAAAAGATCCTTCCCTCAAGATTAGATTCCTGTGGAAAGCAAATCACAAGAACAGTGGAGAATAATAATGTAGTTGATTTCTGAAAAGTCTACTTACTGTTCAATGTTTTGGTTCTCAGGTCTTTACTAAAAAGCAAGTAATCACTTTTATGGCTGATAAAATGACTATCAAACATTTATCATTATTTACAGCTCTAGAATCACTTTTTCATTTATCAGTTATCTTGGTTTCTAAAAATTCTTTCTTCTTGCTAGACACAGAAGCCAGGTGCTGAAAGCTGACCGGGTGCCAAGTCTCAGGACTGTCCCAGCCTTCCACCTCAGCTCTGCAGCCGGGCCTTCTGAATATTCTCGCGGTTGGAAAATCTATTCCCCCAGACTCGCAGATGCTGTTCTCCCCCCACTGGCTCTGCACAGAACATCATTATCTTTGCCGAGCTTCTGTCTCTATGGCAATAACAGATGGGAAGTGCTGTGGAATTATTCATGTTCAGAAAAGGAGGCAGTCAAGGAGGGGAAAGTGGGGGGTGGGAGAGGGGGCACGACCTATGGGGGCGTAGGGAAGGGAACCTAGATGGGGGTGGGGGCGAGGTTGGCTGAGGATAAGAGGCTTGTGAGTCTTTGGTGGGCCTGTGGAGAGGAAAAGAGGGGAATAAAAGTACGAGTACCAGTCGCAGACTCCAAATGTGGACCCCCACCATAGGAGCAGCCCCGAAACAAGAAATTGAACGAAAATGAGCGGAGAAAAAAAAAAAAAAAAAAGAAAGGTCAAAGCTCGAGTCCCTCCTGAAGTCAGCCTACTGCTACTCGATGGACTATTTCAGTTCCTGATCTTGCGGTGGGGTGGAGAAAAGGGGATTTCTCGGTGTTTCGAAATGTGACGGAGCAGCTCGGCAGAGTTCAGTCTGCTAACTGGCCACCCCCACCCCACACGGCCCTGAGGGTCGCGGGCCGAGAGCTGTTAGTCGTTATCTTTCCCCACCTCGTCTTCTCTCTCAAAAACAAAAACCCCCGAGTCCAAACCCCTTCGGCAAACACTGCAAAAACATGTAATTTATAGCTCCCTGTAGGAACCGAGGAGGCAGCCTGGTGGGGTGGGAGGCTGAGAAGCGGGGGACAGAAGTGTTTCCCCTCGGTTTTTCCGGAACTTTGGCCACCCCGCCCGCCTGGCCCGATGGCGGATGGAGGTCAGCCGGGGGAAGGCGTCTGGGTGGAGGCCGCCGGGGCGGGGCGGAGCGCCGGCAGCTGGCAGGGCGGCCCTCGGGCAGGAGGCCCCGCGGGGGCGAGGGCAGCCGGGTGGGAGGCCCCGCGAGGCGGGCCCGGGGGAGCGAGGCCAACACCGGGCGCGCTGCAGGGCGGCTGCAGCCCGGCTACCTCCGGGGCGGGGCGGCCCAGCTGCGGTCCGCGGGGGGAGGGTCGCCCACGCCTGACCTCGGGCAGCGGCGCTCTGCCTCCGCCCGGCCGGCTGCTGGGGTCGCGCACAGTGCACCCAGAGGCCGCCCTGCCCCCTCCCTCCCTGTCGCGCGACGGCCGAGCGGCCAGGGCGCCCCCGGGTCTGGCCCGTCACCACAGAGCCGCGGGTGGGGCGGGGGTGGGGCTGTGGCGGCCCCAGACAGCCGGCTGGGCGACTCGAGGAAGGAAGGAGGGAGGGCGGCGGTGGGGGTGGGGCGGGGAGGGAACATCCTGTCTGCGCCGGGTGCACCGCAGACAGCGCCGCGCGCCAGCCGCCCAGACGGCGCGCTGGGCCAGGAGCGCCGGGCGCGCGCCTGAGGGTTGGGGCGCGCGCGCGCGCGCGGGGGGACAGAGCGGGGAGGGGGGGATCCCTGAGGAGCCACAATAGGCCAGACGGCGCGCGCGTCCCCGAAGGGACTCGGAGCCGCGAGGGGGCGGCGACGCCGGCGGGCTCGCGTGCGCGGGGCCGCCGCTGGCTCGGTTCCCTCCCCCTCCCCCTCCCCGCCGCCCTCGCTCTCCCGCGGGCGGCCGGAGACGGCGGCGGCGTCTGCGGGAAGCCGTGTGTCTCCGCAGTGACGTGGGCGGGCCGAGGGCACGGTGACGTCAGAGGGCTGTGTGTAGCGATGTGTGTGGGGTTCGGAGCGGCGCCGGCACAGCCGAAGGGAGCGGGCGAGCGGCGGCGGCGGCGGCGGGCACAGGTGCGGCCCCAGCTCGCGGGGGAACGCGGCAGAGGCGGCGGGAGGCCAGGGGCGCGCGACCTCCAGGGAGCCCGACGGCGGCGACTGGGGTGGTGGGAGTTAACAAAGCTGGTGGAGCTTCCCGGGGCGCGGAGACCACAGAGTCCGGGGTTCGGATGCGCAGGTCCGGGCGGGGTCGTGGCCAGAGGGGTCGCGGGGCGGACGTCCCACGGTGGATCAAGCCTGGTAGATCCCGGGCGGTGAGCGCAGGCAGGGGAGGGTGTTGCACTTGACCAGAGACGCTTGGACCCCGGAGACCTGGACGCCGGTCACCGCCCCCACACCCGCCAGTCTGCGCACCGCGGGGATGCCCGGGGCTCGACCTGGCTGGTCAGTCCGAGCGGCAAGGGATCTGGGCTGGGCGGCCAACCTGCGCGCGGTCCCCAGTTGGGTCTGGCTCAGGGCCGGCGGGGGGAGGTGTAGCCCTAGGGGCGCTGGGGTAACACCGGAGAACTTCCCGGGGAGAGGGTGCCCGGGGGATTTCCATCGTTCACCCCGCTGCCCGGTAGTGGGCGATGTGGGGAGGACACTTGGGGTGATCCCAGGCTCGCGGGTGGGGGTTGGGGGACTCCTCCCTCTACTTCCCTCCACCCCTTTTCACACCCCCCGGAGGTCCCGGCACTCTAAGCTCCTTGTCTTCCCCATTTCGGGTGAAAGACGGGTGGGTGGCTTTGCGTGGGCGGAGTGCTTCAGGGTTTTAGGGGCTCCCCCATTCTAGGTCATGTCTCCTGCCCTCTTCCTTGGCCTGCATTGGATGAGGTGTCCTTATGGTGGCGAAAGTCAGTAGGATGGCTAGTGACTTTCGTCCTTAATCCTTTGGGTTTGTTTTAAGGTAAACTGCTGGGAGTTTGGAGAGCAAAAATTTCTATTTATTGGATTTCTTTTGGGTATTCTTTAAAGGAGGAAGTGGAAGAATCTTTTCTTTTTCTCTCTTCCTCCATTTGCATTCTTTGTGAGGTCTGTCTGCCTTGTGTTTTTTGTCCCGGATTAATCTTGTTCAAGGATGGAGATTCCCAGGCATAGAGCCTTACAGCTTTTGGCTTCCATTAAGCAAAATTACTAATCTTTTAAAGGGAAAGTTAATTTTTGCCTACAGTCATTTTAGAAAGATAGCATACGTTGATTAGATAAATCAATGCACTTGAGATTGTAACTTAGTTACTTACATTAACTCCTATTTTTTTTGGGGGGAGATGAATGAAATTATGTTTTTTAAAAAATTAGATGAAATAATGGGTTATATTTTAGTTATAGTAGTGTAACTGAGAAAGCCTCTGGTACTGAGTTTCGGTTGAGATCATCTGTTTAAGGTTTTTCATATTCTGAATTTGAGTAGCGTTACTCTTTTTGAGGGATATTTTTGCTCCCTTTGCCCACCTTCCTATTTAAATGAAGCTTCTTCTAGTTACTTGGTGTTAGATTTGAAGAAACCACTCAAGTGTCACCTTTGGTAAAGTGAACTTGGTTTAAGATTAAGAAACTGGTTTCAAACTGACCCTTTGGCCTCTGGAGCAAATTCAAATGTAACTCTTCCTCCATCCCCTTTCTCTTCTTCCAGATTAATTTAAAGAAGAATGAAGTGTAATTCTTGAAGACAATTGGGCAGTTTTTTTGTTAAGTATCATTTTTGATTGTAGAAGTTCAAGTGAAGCTAGAGGCCCTTACTGGTGTGAAGATTTATACAAGGCTTCAATTTGTCAGCACAGACCAACCAACCATTTTTAGAGGGGATACTCCCCCTCTCCTTTTTTGGTATCTTGGTAGTAAAAATTAAATTTGTTTGCATTATTTTGACCGGTTGGAGTCTAGGTTTTATGAAACATCAATGGCATAAACTTTACACATGCTTTGCTTAAAAAAAAAAAAAAAGATTAACTAAACCATTGCATTGAAGCTGGACCTCTTGAATTGAGAAATTGGTAATGTTATTTTACATATATATGAAGAATCCAAGGAAAGCCTCCTCAGAAGTGTACCTCTTAAGATTATATTTATTACTAGAAGCAAAAAGAGACATTTTGTAGTATTTGCAGTGAAATTATACTAGGATAAGCAGAACCAAAACAAAGTTGCAAAATCTATTGGGTAAGAAGATTTCCTTTTGGAAATTTATAATTTTTTATGAATAGGTTAAAAGTATTTGATACAGTTATTCTTCTTCAAATAAGCAACTAAATAAAAATGCAAATCTCAGACTTAATTATTTAACACAATAGCATAGCAATGGAAAACCTACAGGCAAATTTCTCCTTAGTTCAGGGCTCAAATAAAAAACTGAATGGGATGGGAGATGATGGCAGCCCGCCAGTGAAAAAAATGATGACAGACTTTCATGAAAATGGAAAAATGATAAACAAGGTGCCAACGGTAAAGAAGGAACACTTGGATGACTATGGAGAAGCACCTATGGAAACTGATGGAGAGCCTGTCAAGCGGACCTGTACTTCTGTGCCTGAACCTTTAAATTTAAATCCCAGTTTGAAACATACATTGGCACAATTCCATTTAAGTAGTCAGAGCTCTTTGGGTGGACCAGCAGCATTTTCTGCTAGGTATTCCCAAGAAAGCATGTCACCTACTGTATTTTTGCCTCTTCCATCTCCTCAGGTTCTTCCTGGCCCACTGCTCATCCCTTCCGATAGCTCCACAGAGCTCACCCAGACTGTTTTGGAAGGGGAATCTATTTCTTGTTTTCAAGTTGGAGGAGAAAAGAGACTCTGTTTGCCCCAAGTCTTAAATTCTGTTCTCCGAGAATTTTCACTTCAGCAAATAAATACAGTTTGTGATGAGTTATATATATATTGTTCAAGGTGTACTTCAGACCAGCTTCATATCTTAAAGGTCCTGGGAATACTTCCTTTCAATGCTCCATCCTGTGGGCTGATCACATTAACTGATGCACAAAGACTGTGTAATGCTTTATTGCGGCCACGAACTTTTCCTCAAAATGGTAGTGTACTTCCTGCTAAAAACTCATTGGCCCAGTTAAAGGAAACTGGCAGTGCCTTTGAAGTGGAACATGAATGCTTGGGCAAATGTCAGGGTCTCTTTGCACCTCAGTTTTATGTTCAGCCCGATGCTCCGTGTATTCAGTGTCTGGAGTGCTGTGGAATGTTTGCACCCCAGACATTTGTGATGCATTCTCACAGATCACCTGACAAAAGAACTTGCCACTGGGGCTTTGAATCAGCCAAATGGCATTGTTACCTTCATGTGAACCAAAAATACTTGGGGACACCTGAAGAAAAGAAACTGAAGATAATTTTAGAAGAAATGAAGGAGAAGTTTAGTGTGAGAAATGGAAAAAGAACTCAATCCAAGGCAAGTAGCAATTTTGAACAAGGGTAATAGTTTACTTTGAAATCAAAATTTTATATTTAGAGTATAATTTACACATTGTTAAGAAAAATACTGCCTATGCAACAACATGACACAAATCAATGTCATATTACATCTGTATTATAATTTTTAGGCTATAAAGTATTTTCCTATTTAACCTTCCAAACAACCTTGTGGATTGTAGGATTATTCCCATTTCACAGAAAAAAATGAGGTTGAGATGAGTGGCAGAGTTTGAGATGAGTGGCAGTTCCCAAAATTGTATAGTCAGGGAGTGGAAGAGTTGGGCTTTGTTTTGGTCCTATTGTCATTTTCACACATCCTGCTTCTTGATGACTAAATATATTGTTTTCTTAGGACTCAAGATAATTTACACTTTGGTATTATGGTGTTATCTCCATTTGCAAATGATATAATGACTAGCCCAAACATTTCTTATGTGGGCCCAAAATAGCATTTTTCAAAGGCATGGCTATGTTTATGTTTAAACCTGATGTTTATATGGTTGAATATTCAGGCTTGATCAATGTTGGAAACAAATAGAAAAAAAACATTTATCTGAAGTATTTGTGATTCTAGTAACCAAGGTATTTATTTTTGGTACAGGGAATTGAATCCTGGGGAGATTTACCACTGAGCTACCTCCCCAGTCCTTTTTATTTTTTATATTGAGATAGAATTTCACTGAGTTGTTGGGGTTCTTCCTGTTTCTGAGGCTGGGCTTGAACTTGGGATGCTCCTGCCTCAGCCTTCTGAGTTGCTGGGACAGACATGCACTACTGTACCTAGCCCAAGATATTTTTTTTAAAGTAAGGAATAATTTTTAAAATTTATGACACAACTAGAATGAAGAAGTTTATTTTACATTAATAAAGTATTAATATAACAAGCTATTAGCAAAAAGATCTGAAACTTACTTTTCTTTTCACTGCATTATTTGATAGGCTAAGTTAATATCTTCATTCTAATTAAGAATTTGAATGCCTGGTAATAGATGATTTGAATTATTAAGTACTATTTGATCTTGTTATGTATGTATCTTCCTACTTGATTTTAAATTGATATATAGTAACAATACCAAACACTTCATGGTTTAAAATGTAGCATGCATTGCTCCTGAGCACTTTTATATATATGATTTATTTAATTCGTATAACAAAAGGCTGGCATGTTTTGTTTAAAACTTTAAATTTTTTCACTATTAATTTTTATTGCTTGTCCTTATCTCTGTCTTGTTTTATAGAAGAAATGAATGAGCATATTAAATGGCTGACCCAAAGTTGTTCATAGCAAAGTTAGGGCTGAATTAGAATTTAAAATTAGATGTCTTGAGCTTTATCATCGTACTGTTTAAGATTTTCAGGGAAATTTACTTAGCATAGTTTTAAGACAATGTTTTGCTTCTGAAACTCAATGAAGATGGTAGACTTTTAGACTCATTTAGAGTAGTTTGTTGCTTCCCAAAAGGTTAGTACTTTAAATTCCTTGCCAGTGGCTACTAGATTGAGGTATAGTTATTAACTAGTTTTAAAGCTCTACTGACTTCAAGCCAGTACTCAAAAGTTTGAAACTTGCTTACAGCTGTATTTCTGCAATACTGAAGTTTGTGCTCAGAGGTCATCTGTTTTCACAATATGAAATGACCCTTTTTGATACTTATGTTATCTTTGCCCCAAACTATAAGTAGAGACTCTATGCTTATATTTCTGTAGGTAGTCATATTATTTGTCAGATATTCTTTTTTGAATCTTTGTTATTCTTGACATAAGTATGTTTTGGATAAACCACCTTGCCTCTATTCCTAATCTGTGTTTGTGTAAAAAAACAGAACCATGGTAAAGGGTTGAGTGGGGGAAAAAGATAGTGGGCAAATTAACTGAAACTGAATGTGGTGAGATTTGGTTAAAATTGAATCCATCCTTTATCTGGGAAGTAGTCCATTATTGTCCCAGAATTTATTAATTTGAATACACTTTTGATTTTGGGAGAGAGAGTGAGGTTTTTTTTCTCCCATCTCTTTGCCATGTTATATTTTGCATTTTTTGCAACATTTTCTTTCAATTTTTTTTTCTTTTTCTTTTTTTGTGCACTGGGGCAAACCCAGGGGCATTCTATCACTGAACTACACCCCTATCCTAATTATTTTTT